CTTGCCTTGCATGCATGAGGCCCTGGGTTCGATTCCTCAGCACCACATAAGCAAAAAGAAAAAAGCTGGAAGTGGCGCTGTGGCTCAAGTGGTACAGCGCTAGCCTTGAGCTAAAGAGCTGAGGGACAGCGCCCAGGCCCAGAGTTCAAGCCCCACGACTTGAACCCCCCCCCAAAAAAAGAAAAGAAAACACCATGTAATCCATATGTTAAGTTAAAAATGAGCTATATTCAACTATTCTTATTTTGTGATGTGGTCTTTGAGATAGTGTGTATTTTACACGTATACTACATCTCAGTTTGAACTAGTTTCCATGCACGTGGCTAGTGGCTGTGTATGGGACAGCACAGACATAAAGCATGCATCAGCCGCTGACATTCTGCCAGAAAGGGAGAAAAGAAGGCGGATGGTGGAGGGGGAAAAACTGAAACCGACAAAGAAAACCCAGTGAAAATGAGCCATGATACCAAAGCTTATCTTAGGGTAGCAGATTGAGAAAGGGAAATTAGAGACCAATAAATCTGTGTATGTTGTAGAAACTGTTTGTATATATTGGGGGGTAGGAAGGAGGTAGAAAGCAAGCTCTAGAAGATTGAGAGTATATATACCCTTACCATGAGGACAGAAAAGGTCACCCAGTGTTCATCACAGAAGTGTACCCTGCCAAGGGATGACAGCGCTGGAATCCTGCTCGAGCTCCACTCAATGAACAGAAGCCCTGGCTTTGGAAGGTGGAACTGCATCTTTTCTGGCCTGCACAAAGATTCTGTCCCATAGCAAGCACTTGTGCCACTGCATCTGCCTAGAGGGTCACCTTCTTTTATTTGTATATTTATTTACTTTCCAATTTATTTTGCGCCAGTACTGGGGCTTCAACTTGTTTCTTAGCTTTTTTGCTCAAGACTGGTGCTCTACCACTTGAACCACAGCTCCACTTCTAGCTTTTTGCTGCTTAATTAGAGACCAGAGTAGCACAGACTTTCCTGCCCAGGCTGGCCAAAAACTACAATCTTCAGTTCCCAGCCTCCTGAGTAGCTAGGTGAGGATAACCACCTTCTATGAGGCATCAAGATCCTGACCAAGCTGGCTGCTGTCTCAGTATGGAGGCAAGCCGAGCTGGCAGCTCTCATTCCCACTTCTACATGGTGGGTGCCCAGCACACCGTGTTACCCATGGTGTGCCCAGTACCTCGTGTTACCCACTCACCTCGGATGAGGAAGTAGCCACCTACGATGAGCACCAGGCCGATCGGAGCTAACACAAAGCCAGCGCGGTAGCGGTAGTTCTTATACCCCACAAAACAGATGCCACTCACGGAGTCCCCATCCACCTGTGGCAGGAGAGTCAGTTATTGGCCTTGTCCACCAATACCACCCCACTTAGGCCCTCAGCCCCCTACCAGTCACTATACCTGGGCCACAGCAAGGATTGCCACAGTCAGGACGAAGGGAAGTGACCACGTGAGCAGGTGGAAGTAGGAAGTCTTGCCTGAGAGAGGCTGGTACGTAGTGCCTAGGGCTTTGAAGGAGGTGTGCCAGGCATAGGTGAGGACCACAAACCAGACCACGCCAGCCATCAGGGCGTAGTACACGATGACAAAGATGATAACGCAGGACAGGGTCTCATTGGAGCTGTGTAGACATGGGGTGGGGGATGCCATTTGTTGGGTAGGAGGTCACTTTGCACTGCCTCTACCAAATCTTGCTGTCTGGTAAGGTCTGGAGGAGAGCTCAGGAGTCAGGACTGGGCGAGGCTGCTGAAGCTGGGCCCCACAATAAAATGCAAGCAATGGAGGTCCTGAGGCTGAGGCCAAGGTCTCAAGACAAGAGGCCTTGGAACAATAAGACAGGGCTGAATCCCACCCTGAAATCCAACTGGTAATTCCAACCTGCCCATTTTGTGGCAAAGGCCTATTATAGCCTTCCTTCCAAGATGCTTACGTGGGCTCCCCAAGCCTCATGGTACCATCTGCACGGCAGACAATCTCCCGGCGGGCACCATCCATGAACTGGGCCAGCCAGCCAATGCTGCCCACGAAGAAACAAGCGTTGACATAGAAGAGAATAACAGCAGGGTATCGATTCGAGTTCCTCCAGTCAGCCACAAAGGTGGCCTGCAAGAGAGTTAGAGAGGTAAGGATTGTTCTGCTGCTGCTGCACCTGATCTGAACCTCAAATGCTTCCATCGTGACCTCTGAGACACACACCAACCCCCCCCCCCCCCCCCCCCCCCCGCAACAAACCTATTGAGTCACACCCCTCCAGAGCCTAGCCTTGTGCTAACAATCTGGCTCCCAGCTGTCCAGGCAATGGGATCCGCCCGTTCTTTCCCTGTCCTTGTCCCTCTCCCTGTCGCTGACCAGGGTGAAGAGCGTGCAGAGGCCGGTGACAGCGCCAAAGGCCGCGATGTAGCTGTGCATGTCTTGGTGCTCCGCCTCGGTGAAGAGAGGATTCTGGCACTGGATCCCACAGCCCTCCACATCCTCGTACCAGCTCTTGGGGTTGTCTGTCCGCACCAAGGGCGCTTCGCACTGACCCGAACTGTTGAACTTTATGTTCTGTACCTCATTCTGCCACCAAGGGAGGGGAGAAGGAAATGGCAAGGGGAGAGGTAACTCATGGCTGGCCACTTATTCAGGAAAGGGGAAGCAGTTTCTGGTGAGCAGAACCCCATCAGACTTGGTTATGCAACCTTGGGCTAATGATTTGACTTCTCTGTAGCTCAAGATCCCCATCTTTGTGAGTGTAGGGGGATTAAATTCAGGGTCTTGTACTCTCACTTAGCTTTTCCATTCAAGATTGGCACTTTGTCACTTGAACCACAGCTCCATTTCTGGTTAATTGGACATAAGAGTCTCAAATTTGTCTCCCTCGACTGGCTTTGAGCTGTGATCCTCAGATTTCAGCTTCCTGAGTAGCTAGGATCACAGGTGTGAACCACTGGCAACCAGCTTGCTTCCTCATCAATGAGAAAGTCTTATTTACCTCTAGGTAGAGTCTAAGGATCAGATAAATAAATAGATAGATGTATAGTGCTTATAATGCTATTTTGTGGGTGGTGAATTATAGTCTGTATTTTTACTATCATTTCTATTCTTGCTATTACTGTTTCAGATCTCTCCTTTCCCAGGCAGACTAGATATTCTTCTTCCTCTACTTCTATCTCCTCCTACCTGCCCCCCCCCAATCTTGGTGTCTCCTGATGTGTCTTATTCTATGCCTTGACCTTTACATGAATGATAAAGTCCCTGAAGGCAAGTTTATTTCATCCATGACTCCTGTGGCATTCTACCACCTAACAGAATAGGTGCTCAAACAGTCTTTGCTGGAATGTTTTCTTGGGTGAGTTGAGAACCCTTGAGAGACAGAGGCCAGCCAGTGAGCTGCTGGTCTTCGAGCTCATGGATCACCATAGATTTAAGGTCACCAGAAGGGAAGGTGCTGATCTCTCTGTAGCCCAGCAGATCCCTGCCTCATGTCAGGCTAGTCCACCAGACGTTACCCCTCAGAGCACTCACCGGGCAGCCTTCAGGAAAGTGGTCAGGGGTACATCGCAGGAAGTCTGGCCAGCCCCGCTCCCTCTCCACGATGGCACAAGGGCCTCGGGTGGCCTGGCACAGGGTTCGGCTGGGCAGTTCCACCCGGTCATTCTCACACTTGGGCATGTACACAGCACACAGCAGGGGCTGGATCACTGCCCAGCAGCGGGGGGCATTCCTGAGGCCTGTGGGTGGGGATGACAGTGTGGGGATATTGCAGTGAAAACCCCTCCCCATTTGACCCACTGGAGTGGCTATCCCCTATTCCCAAGCTCTCTTCTACGTGGCAGGACAGGTGCTACTGCTCACAATCACAATGTTTCTCAACAGGACTGGGCAGGGCATTTCTAGTACTTTTTTTTTGTCGGTCGTGGGGCTTGAACTAGGGCAGGACATGTCTGTGTGCTATAGGGCTGCCCCGTGCAATGCAGGCCACTTCACCTCTCTAAATCCCGCCCACCAAATACCCATAGAACCTAACTTGCTGTGAGTACCAAAAATGTTCCCCCCACCTATGCAGGGCTGGTGGAGGGAAGAGGACCTTAAGAGAAGCTTCTGGCTGGACACTGGGGCTGTTTTTTGTTGTTTTGTTTTATTGTTGTTATTCCAGTATTGGGGCTTGAACCCAGGGCGTGGGTGCTGTCCCTTAGCTTTTTCACTCAATGCTTATGCTCTACCATTTGCGCCATATCTCTACTTCTGGCCTTTTGGTGCTTAATTGGAGATAAGAATGTCATGGACTTTACTGCCTGGGATGGCTCTGAACCTCAATCTCAGGTCTCAGCCTCCAGAGTAGCTAGGATTGTAGACAGGACCCACTAGTGCCCAGCTCTTTTAAACCCTTCTACAGGCCTTTCTCGTCCAGGGCCAGGAGGGCTATGAGACCCCCTCCCTGGGCCCACTCACTAGAACCAGCCCTCCAAACCCTTGCTCTTCTTACCAAACTGGAGTAGAGAGAGAAGAGGTGAGGACTTAAGAGGTAGTCAGGGGAGCCAGGAACTCCAGATGCAGAGGAAGAAACGGGAGATCAGGTGGGGAGAAACAGAGGAGGCTGCAGCCAGTGCACAGGGAGGAGAGATGTTGTCAGCAGACAGAAACTCAAAGGGGTCTCCCAGCACCCCTTCCCCAGCCCAAACCTCTACCTTCCTCCCTCCAATAGCTGGGTTCACTCTGCTCTCTTTCCATAATCCCTACAGAGCCACTGTGACACCTGTATCCCAGGTAAGACGTTGGATCAGGATATGAAAGCCAGCATGGATCAATTTCCTGCTGTCCTGCAGGTGATAAAGGAGGCTGAGAAACAGCCTTTTTCCAGGGAGACGATGGAGAATAAGAAGCGTGGGGTTTTCAATTAGCCTGTGTGGGTCTATATTGTGGCTGTGTTGTCTTGAGCAAGGTCCTAAATCTCTACCTTTGGCCTCAGTCTCCTCTTCTGTGGTATCAGGATGGTAGATTTACCCATGAAACTGTTATGAAAAATAAGAGACACCACATTCACTCATCCCACCTATGAGGTAGTAAGTTCCTTGGGAAAGGCTAGCGGTTATCACTGAGGCCTAGTTTCAACATGGTAGCTCTGAGTCTACTTCCGGGTGACAAGCAAGTTCCTCCCAGTTATGCAGAAATAGCCTTAGACAACAGTTCCCACCCAACTCACCTCAGAACCACCTGGACAACCTATAGCCCCTAGATGGAAAATCCCTGTCCTGGAAATTCTGAGTGGGTGATCTGGGTGGAAAGAGCAGCAGGGGCCAGGGCCAGGGTAAAAGGAGAGGGTGCGATGTTCCTTGTCTTATAAGGTGATTGTGCCTCCATGAATCCGCCATGAAGTGAAAGAATTCTAGATGGGAAACGCACTCAAACACCCCAATTACTGGGCACCCTAGCTTAACAACACAGCACACTAGGGAGCATGATGGAGCAGCTGACTGGGAACTGAGGCTCATGACCACTGCCCAGTAATGTGGAGAGATTAAATTACATATCACTAGCCTGGGAAGAGATCCAAATTCAAACTTGGAAGCAAAACTTCTATTGAATGCATGTTGCCTTTGCACCATCCTTAAGACACACAAAACAACTGTTTAAGTTGAATCACTGGAAGTCAGGGAATCGGCACACCACGGTGAGAGACTGTTCTGTCTTCAAATGGTAGCTAGTTATGGCTGTAAGCACTTGTCTAAATGCATGAAGTTATTAAATAGCACATTGAAAATATTGGAGGGAGGAGCTCTCTAGAGTAAAATGTATTCTAGAGGGGCTCCAGGTAGTTAATTGATTAAAATGCTATTTTTTTATTTTATTATTCTCTCGTTCTCTCTCTGAGAGAGGGACTTATTAGGCAGGTGATCTACCACTGAGCCATGCCTCTAACCGTCTGCAACATTATTTTTTATTTATTTATTTTTATTTTTTGTTGGTCATGGCTCTTGAAATCAGGGCTGATTGATGTCCCTGAGAATTTTTTTGCTCAAGGCTAGCACTTTACCACTCTGAGCCACAGCTCCACTTCTCGTTTTCTGGTGATTAATTGGAGATAAGAGTCTCACAGACTTTCCTGCTGGGGCTGGCATTGAACCTCCATCCTCAGATCTCAGCTTCCTGATTAGTTAAGATTACAGGCATGAGCCACCAGCACCTGGCCCTCTTCAACACTTTAAACATCCCGTTTCATATTTTAATCTTCATATATGGGCATTGTGATACATACTTCTAAGCCCAGCTACTTTGTAGGCTGAAGCAAGAGGATTGAGAATTTGAGGTCAGACTGAGCAAAGTTAAGTGAGATCCTGACTCAAAAATAAAATATAGAACGTGTGGTAATATACACAGAATCCCAGTACTCTAGAGGCAGAAGCAGGAGGATCCTGAGTTCAAGACTAGCCTGGGCTACATGGTGAGACCCAATCTCAAAAACCAACTAAAGAAACTGTAAATTAAAGGTCTGGGAGGCAGGGCTTCAGTACAGTACTAGTCTAGCACACTTGGGGTCAGGGGTTCAACAGCCAGTTCCAGTTCCACTTAATTAACTAATTAATCAAGTCTCCAAGAGGAATAAGATTATTATTATTTTTTTTTTGGTGCTGCTTCTAGGGCTTGAATTCAGGGTATTGGCGTTGTCTCTAAGCTTTTTGCCTACTTGAGCCTCAGCTTTACTTCTTGCTTTTTTTTGGTGCTTAAATGGAGGTAAGAGTCTCATGGCCTTTCCAGCCCAAGCTGGCTTCAAACTACAATCCTCAACTCTCAGCTGAGTAGATAGGGTTATGGGCATGCGCCACTGGGAGCTGCAGATTATTAATTAAAAAAAAAAAAGAGAGATGGGAATGTGGCTTAGTGGTAGAGTGTTTGCCTAGCATGCATGAAGGAAGCCCTGGGTTTGATTCCTCAGTACCACATAAACAGAAAAAGCCAGAAGTGTCGCTGTGGCTCAAGCGGTAGAGTGCTATCCTTGAGCAAAAAGAAGTTCAGGGACAATGCCCAGGCCCTGAGTTCAAGCTCCAGGACTGGCAAAAAAAAAAAAAAAAAAAAAGTGAGCTATTTAGGGGGAAAAATGTTGAATTTGTACTCTGTTTTTTCCATAAAAGAAAATTCCAAATGGATCAAAATTAACTATAATATTTTAAAAAGTTAAAGTGCTAGAAGAAAAAATAGAAAATTATTTTTAAAACATGGAGTGAGCCAGGCGCTGGTGGCTTACGCCTATAATCCTAGCTACTCAGGAGACTGAGATCTGAGGATTGCAGTTCAAAGCCAGCCTGGGCAGGAAAGTCTATGAGACTCTTATTTCCAGTAAGCCACCAGAAAACCAGAAGTGATGCTGTGGCTCAAGTGGTAAAGTGCTAGTTTTGAGCTGAAAAGCTGAGGGACAGTGCCCAGGCCCAGAGTTCAAGCCCCATGATTGACAAAAATAAAAAAATAAAATATAAGTTAAAAAAACCTTGGAGCAAGAAAGGCCTTTTAAAACACAACCTAGAGGCTGTAGAATAATATTTTTTTACGAAGTTCAGTAAAGTAAAAAGCAAACAAAATCATACGAAAAACGTATACCTAGAAAATATATTTCTAATACGTATCACAGGTAGTCACTCTCCTTACATATATAAATCTCTTCCAAAGCAATGAGAAATGGTTAAAGTTATAGAACTATGGTCCAAAGGCGATGTATCACTCAGAGGAAATAGTCTTTAAAATCATAGAGAGAAAGTTGGGCGCTGTAATCATAGCTACTCAGGAGGCTGCCGTCTGTGGTCTGAGGATTGCTATTTGAAGCTAGCTCAGCCAGAAAAGTTCATGAGACTCTTATCTCCAATAGACCAACAAAATCTAGCACTGAGCAAAAAAAGCCCCAGGACAACATCCAGGCCCTGAGTTCAAGCCCTAGCCCCAGTCCCAGCACCAAAAACAGAGATGCTTAGCCTCATTCTTGACAAGACAAATGCAAAATAAAACCATAAAAGAGATAACTTGTAAATCTTTAGAACAATAAATATGAAAACATCTGAAAATACCATATTGTCAGCAGTATGTGGGCAATCTGACACTTAGTGCTGGTAGAAATAAGTGTCAATAACTTCCTATGGATAGCACTTAGCTTAGCAGGATCTATTTTGAAAAAAATGTATACCTTGGGCTGGGAAGGTAGCTCAGTGGTAGAGTGCTTGCCTCGCATGCATGAGGTCCTGGGTTTGATTCCTCAGCACCATATAAACAGAAAAAGCCAGAAGTGGCACCGTGGCTCAAGTGCTAGAATGCTAGCCTTGAGTGGAAGAGCTGAGGGACAGTGCCAAAGCCTAGCCCACAGTTCAAGCCCCACGACCAACGGGGAAGAAAAATGTATACCCGTTCCCAAAGATAATATATAAGATTATTCATTGCAGCAGCATCTGCAACAGTAAAAGACTGAAAACAGCTAAGTCATATCCATCAAAAGGAGATTTGCTATAATATATAACATTCATTAAGGGCCAGAAGTACAATTCAAAAGCAAGTGCTAGGTTCAATCCCCAGTACATATGCAAACATGTGTGCACCAATGTGCACATGCATTATACACACAATATAATAGGACACTATTAAGGTTGAATTACAATGTGCACATGCATTATACACACAATATAATAGGACACTATTAAGGTTGAATTACAGGCATGGAAATGGAATACTGTTCAATATGCACTATTAAGTG